TGGCCTATCGGAGTTCATGAGAAGGTGGTAATTTTGTATTCAGATGCTGCGGGACATATGCTGAAAGCTGCAAATGCGTTAAAATATTTTGCCTTAATTATATTCATTTTACTTGCCTGGCTCATGGACTGCAATGTGTTGTAGAGGTTAGAACCAAGTTCCCTCAAGTGAATAAATTAATTTCCGTGACAAAAATTATTTTTGAAAGCCCCATATCAGTTGCAATCCTATAAGCAGCATTGGTCAGACGTACGCTTGCCCCCGAACCAGTGTCAACAAGATGCGGGACCCGGATAAAAGTAATCAACTTCTACAGTGAACACTTTGAAACTGTGAAAACAATTGTAGCCAAGTTCCCACCAGAGTCTGCTGTTTCAGCGCGTAAATCCCAGAATGAATTCATATACACAAAAGTGGCCTGTTCAATTGCCTACCTCCGAAATATTTTCGGCTGGCTTCCGGAGAGTGTAAAATGTTTTCCAGGGACTTCTTCTGCAAGAATCTATGGACATAATGAAAAAGGCAAGTGAAAGGCTTAGTGAAGTTAAAGGGGAGGCTGGTGAAAATATGCCCACAATGTTGGAGGCCGTGTTAAAAAGAAACCCTGGATTTTCGACATTTACCATTATCTGTCAAGTACTTAATGGTGACGATGTAGACCCCCCTGAAAACATTACTCCTCAGGAAATTCCTTTGTTAAATTACGCACCACTGACGTATGCGAAAGTTATTTTCAGCCCACAAACATATTCTACACGTATCAGATAAATGCAAACCAATGACCCCAGAAAATATGGAAAAGATTCTAATTGTGTGTTGTGCATAGATATCAACGTTCTTGACAAAAGATTGTAAACAAATGTTTCTTGCAAAACTACATATTAGTTTTATGTCACGTTATATAATTTCATGAATCCACATATTTTACTACATATTTGAGAGGTTTCTATTGCATAATTATGTACATATTTTGCATGATGATGCTACATAAAAAACCTAGTTCTACTAATCAACAATACCAACATGGCAGCCCTGCTATCAGAGGTGGGAAAGGTAAGGACACATTTAGTATCCTGAAATGAGAGAGGATTTTGATGGTAGAAAAAATAGAGCTTAATATTTGACAAATTTCATGTTGTTAACGCCCTTGAATTTGAGAAAGTTTTTTCGGAATGTCATCTCTCTGTCTTTCTGTACGAATTGTACGAATGTGCCCCTGGCTAACTCGTGAACTGTTTGATATATTTCGTTCATATTCAGCATTTAAGAATTCATCAACGTAAGCGAGTGAAACAGTGAAAAAGAACGCTGTAGCTCAAAAGATATTGGCGGTTGAAGTGGGCCCCAAGAAGAAAAAACAAACAAATTTGCGATTTTCTCGAAATCGATTCAAACGAGTCTGATTACATTTCAGCAGTTTTTGGAGACTGCAGCCCTAAATAAAGCTACAAAGGTCATATCTTCATGCAAAATAAAATACGCAATCCTTACATGTCCTAGCTTTTATATTGAGCCACAAACAATAGCCTACCGAACAAAAATCGATTTCTTTTCCAGGGAAACATGACCAAGTTCAATCGTAAGCAGGAAAGTATGTGCAATGCCCTTGGACCGTCCTCGTTTTTAAAGAGATCAACTGCTTTACATAAATGTTCCTGCATTTCATACCACTGAAGAAAACGAAACATTCTTTAGACTTCTTTCTTTGCGTCCTAAGATTAGTGTCAAGCTTGTTTCAAAATACCAGCAATGTTTTAATGATATTGTGTCGAATATGACCATTTCTAGGCAACGGTTCCGTAACACACGTTTTCACTGCAACGAACAAGTCCATTGTTAACCAACGGATTGCCAAATACAAATTCCCATGACAACAGAAAAAACCGACCAGCACACGAACCATAGGAGATGGTGATCTATATTCGGTTCGCCTGGAAGTTAGTTGAGTCCAGAAGAGTTCAGTCGCAAGTGAGTCCTCGGTCTTCATTCGTGATTCGTCCTTCGTGCATCGCAAGTGACCGATTCGTAAATCATAACCAAGTCAGTCACAGGAGAAGAGAAGACACTCATAGTCCATTCATTGGTTGTGAGCTGTTATAATTGATTGCAACTGTAATAGAAGTGCAAATAAATCCAATTATCCAATCCAGAAACCGTTATTATTAGTCACTGAACCCCGCATACGTGAGAACATATTAATATCTTTACATCTGACACTGGCCATTCTGCTGAGTATCCACTTAAAATTTACACTGTAAGACAAGGAGCCCGACAGAATGTTTCAGCGTGTCATAGTCTTCTTATTACAAAACAGTGATACAGTGGCAATTACCGGCACGTCAGTGTTTCACACCTCAACGAAATCAGGTCCCCTTAGATCGCCGTTTAGATCCAGAAGTGCTTCTTTGATGCTAACTAAACTGATGAAACTGGGTCGAGTGGATTTTCTTTATTCACAGCTTTGTTGATGCACAAGAGAAGACGGAAAAACATCGTTCCGCTTAGATTCCCTGTGACATAAAAATACTAGGACACGTCCTATTTGCAGCTGTCTCTTTCTTTAATACTTCAAAATTCAAGTCAGTCGATTGCGTCTCCTTTTAAAGGAATTACCTGCATTTTCCAATAATACCGAAAACATACATAAGAGACTGGAATGTACACTTCATTTATAAGGCACCTTTACCACAGCAACAGATTTCATGATATTTTTTAAAAACGCTACAATTCTCACAATTGATTCACGATTCCCCGACCACCTTCTTATGCGAATCTGGACTTTTCATGTTATTTAATGCCATTCTCGGCCTACCTTCAGACATCCGTGACTGATGTGACTGAGGAAAACAACGGGAAAACCTTAGTGACAACGGAAGGTTTACACGACACTGCAGGACCAAGAAATGAAAAAAAATCTTAAGCACGGAAGCAAGCAGTAGGTACCAGGAACTTTATTTCCTGCACCTTAAAGAAAGACCTGAAGCTGGCACGCATGTGCCGAAACATGTCGTTCCATACAGTAAATTCTGCCGGCTGGAAATAGAGTTATTTTAGTAGGAATGTTTTAAATGTCTATAGTAATTTGTACAACAGAATGCAACATCATACGAAAGATAAGGGCTTATTTTCGGGGATAAGCTGGCTGAAGTGTGAGCCTGATCACTCACTTCCAACTAGTGTCAAGATTATGAACGAGTTGAGTTATATCTCCACTCCCGTCCACGTCGTGAAGTAGGGATAGCTCTGCAGGTGTAGCGACGTTCTACCGACTGGACTACTGAGATTTTGTTCCCAGCAGGGACCAGAAATTTGTTTCTACTCCATAGTATTCGGACCAGTTCGGGGGACAACCAGTGGGTACTGGTGGCTGTATCACTGGGGTAAAGCAACCGGGACGTGAAGCCGACCAATCACTTCCATCTAGTGCCGAGATCAAGAAATACGGGGATATACCTCCACTCCCCCATACGTCTCCATGGCACAATGCTTAGCTAATTAAACACAGGAACAAAGTTCCTCCATTCACGTTTTCTGGCTCAGTGTTTATTTTTAACAACTATTTTATTTCTTTTTAAGTGTTGTAAGAATAGGCACATATGGAAATTATTCTCAGTTTCTATATCTTTGTAATAGACTTGAGCAGAATTCTTTCTCCCCTTACGGAAACAGATCCACTTTCCGAAACATCAGTTGATTTAAATTTACCATAGGAAATTGACCATATGCAACATAATACCTCTCTATATAAAATAGTTTTCTAACGGTGGGTCATAGTTCTGAAATTATGCAAATTCGAGCTACCACAGTAATGAATTTTCGAACTTTGCATGAACCCGACTTACGTAGTAGGTCACGAATAAACGATCCGTCTTCGTTTCTAATGTGGAATGGCTTTCTCTACAAACAGGCAACCTGTAACAGATAGGGACGAGCGGCCTTAAGGAGGGAGCAGCGGGAGCGAGTATTCATCATGAGAACCAAGCCGCAGGAAAGGACGTTAAGACCGATCACAGATAGCACAAGAAAAGAAAAATGGATATTCGGGACGAATAGTCTTAAGAATGTGCAATGTGGCATGTAGACCAGTTGCGAGCAACGACCGCGAAATAAGGAGCTAGACAACAGCCTTTGCTAGGTAATGGCTCTGTAAACAACGCCCGTTGCTAGGTAATGGTCGTAACAAATTCCTAACACTCATCAATGTGTAACACAGGAATAGTATACATTATGCGGTCAGAGCGATAGCCACGTGATGCAACAAGAGAAGAGTTGCGGGAGAGATGTTCTTTATGCCATCTGTGCCGAGGATATATAACGAGGGGAAGCTGTTATTTCGAGAGAGTCTTGGGACGGCAGTGAGAACAGTAGGAGGTTGGTGTCAGATGGCTGCCAGGCTGAGGGTGAGTTGTGAAACAGTCTCCGGCCAGTGAAAACATGAACACGGGGGCTGAGGAAGCTACGGCGTTGAAAGCTGTTACCAGGCGACAACCGGTGAAGATACGGCAGACTGAGAAGCCTTCGTACGTGCTGTAGTAAACTGCAGAGTGTGTGACTTAGCGATAGCGTTACAGTTAAATGCAGTTATGATCTATAAGTTGTTAAGAAATCCAGTCAGCAATCTAAATCCCGTCTATATTGACTCCATATGTGTGAAAATATATTTTTTAAATTCCGGTTTATTTCAATGGAATGTTCTCTGATTGTCTTGAAACATCTTAATTTATAGTCGTCAACACGTAAGTAATAATGATTATATTTCATAAAAGAAACCGAAAGATGATGGCTGGTTAAGAGTCCAGCCAGACGTTATACCCATAAGCGACAGCCAGTAAAGAATTTTAAAACTGGTTCACTGAATATTTTCCCGGTGTTCAGGACTCTGATCGACAATGTGTATATCAAACATTCCTGCAAGGCGTTTACAAGCGCCATTTACACTTAGTTCTACTGCAAAATAACGCCTAGGAAGCTACAAGCTGATAGTTTATTTTCGTATGTAATGCTGCCTCCTATAGACCCGTTATTGCACGAGAAGAATGCAAGCACACGCTGCTGCTGTACCCAGTGTACATTCCGGCGACCGTAGTAGTCTCAGGCGAGCAACTCCATGGGCTTGATGATTATTTCGTTTACCTGAAACAAAAATTCGGACTGGAGCTTCTTACTTTAGACAAGCTACCACAAATCATACAAGAAAAATGGAAATTAATTAAGTTTAAATATAAATATGAATATTATAATTATATTTTATGGGCTGATAGGCTTAAGGTTTCGTTATGTACGCGTATGTGTATTTATCTGTCCGTAATAGTCTAATAGCAACTGACGGATCATGGCACCAAATTCTAACCGAAATATTTACTTTATAGAACAACACCATTTTCTGGAATGTGATACAGTAGCAGAAGAATACCAGATTACACGGCGTTATTTCCCAAAAGAAAATACTGTAACGAATATGACCATTTGCAAGGCAACTTCTCACTAAAACGAGTTCTCATGTCGACGAAGATTAAACAGACGTTTCCGTGGATACGAGTGATGAAAAAGCAGGGTTCCCATGGGAACAGATTTTTGGGATCACCAGGCGTTTCCGCTATAACTCATATAACAATCCAGAACATGAACTGTTAGGTGTGGTGGTCACTATTGGGCTTTCATAGAGGCTGCTCAGGCCAGAATGCGATGATAAACCTCATTGGTTAAGATATTCGTAAATGAGAAGAGCGTTCGTCAGACAATCGAGGTTGAAGGCAGTCGCAGTATTAAGGGGAACCAAGAACTAATGGAGTAATTCGTCATTCGTCGCAGTGGAAGAGGTGATACACGTAAGGAAAGGAGCGAGTCTTAGGCAGTCACAGATTATGATCTGTTATAATTGATTTTAATTGTAAAGAAGTGCCGATAAATCCAATCATTAAATCCATAACGCGTTATTATTCGTTACGCAACCCCTAAAACTTGACAATACTTTCATAGCCGCTGCTGCAAGGTCTCAAATCCAATTGCTATTATTTTTATTTCTCTTGTATCGATATTGTCAACATGGAGACTGTGTGAGGTTTTGAGATAGAATCGACGTAAACATGACATAATATACAGTTCTGTAATGTTTTTGATAATGCATTTTTTGGAAAATATTTAAGCCCTTTTAGTGTGCAATATAATGTCAAATCGAAATAAATGTTATTATTGAGAGGTGAGCATTTGGAGTTATGGAGGAAGACATGTCACGAAGACATCAACACTGAAAGAGATTTTGTGTCTTAGGAAATATGAACAAATTATTATCCGAAAATTTGAATATCTTGTAACATGACAGGATCCAGGATAGCGCAATCGATATAGCGACTGGTTACGGACAGGACGGAAGAAAAGTTGGAGTTCAAGTCCCTCTAGGGTCAAGAATTATCTTCTGTCCACGTCGTCCAGACCGGTTCTGGGACCCACTGAGCCTCCTACCCAATGAGTAACGCGGGCTCTTTCCTCGAAAATAAAGAGGCCTGGACGTGAAGCTCACCATTCACCTCCAACTAGTGCCGAGATCAAGAAAATATGGATCTATACATCCATTTCCCCATACGCCTTCATGGCGTAGTTCTTAATTAATTAAACACAGGGGAAAATTTACCTTATTACTCTGTCATGCCAGATCACCGACTGACAATTGATTGTTCCTCTGGCTACTGATTTCTTTGAACAGCCACAAAGGAACGGTTTCTTAAGTGAAATTAGTTGCATTGGTAATGGAGCAACATGCTTCGAATAAATGACCTACATCTTCATACGCGGAATGTGTGTGGTGGCAAATTTTGTTCCAACATGCACGAAACAGGAAGTCTAAGGAGCATCCCAACAGCGCCAAGAACTGGAAACTACTGTGCACTGATTATAATGCCTTAACTTTTGTCACATCTCAACACCGACCAGTTCGTCATAACAGCGTTAAAGGTCACAATATTGCACATGTGTATAGAATGCTGTCAGACCAAGTATATATCTGCACATACTGAGATTTGTATTATCATCTGTCTCCTCCACAAACAATGGCCAGTCCATTCAAAAGTCCAGTGGATCCACTGATATTGGATAGGATTCCTGGGACCCATCGCAGAGAAAACAGTCACGGATATACGTACAGAGTATCTCGAGCGAGATTCAGATTTATGATCGTGGTGAACTAAGAGCGCATGCTCCTAAGGCTATACTGTCGTCATCATAGGACACAATCGGGAACATCGGAAAACGTGTCATCTGTTGCTTGCCACATGACAATACACTACTCGTCTGGGCTTCGAATCGTAAGCACGCATCGAGAACCGGCTCTACGAATGAACTGCCTAGCAAACTCAAAGAAAGTGACAAATAGTGATAAACGATGAAAATCAACCAAGAACAGGAAGCTCAGACCAACAGGTACGATAGTATTGTAAACAATCCCCAACTACAATGATGCATCCCGCAGAAATCACACGAGAATACAACAACAGGATCACCAATCAACAAAATTATAACCCACCCAACAGACAGTGGACAACCATGAACCCACTAACATACACTGTTTCACCAACTGCGGTACCATCAGAAATGCAAGCGGTACATATGCAACTATCCCCAGTACACAACACCAGTACAACAACAAATCCAACCACCCAACATGAATTACATAAACAACGAAGACAGAGGTCAACACATACAAAAAATGGCCTCATACAGCAAAGAAGAAGAAGAAACACAGAAAAATAACAATAACAAATGGCAAACAATCAGAAGCACAAAGAGAAAGAAAACTCCATTCAACAGAAATCATAACATGTAACATAGAAACCAACAACCGATACGACCCACTATCTGAACAACCGATACGACCCTCTATCTCAACAACCAGGAACCTCAAGTAATGAAATCACGATAACTTCAAGGATACCTAAACCGCCGCCAATATTCGTTCGTGGGGTACAAAATTACTCCGAAATGATAAAACGAATACAAAAAAAAAATAGGCGAAAAAGAGCAATACTTCACCAAAAGTCTAGCAAACAACATTGTCAAAATAAACTGCGAAACCCCAGAAACCTACAAACAAAATGATCGGAGATTTCAGCGAACAAAAGATGTACCGTCACACTTACCAACTGAAAGAAGAACGAGCATGTAGAATAGTAATAAGATACCTTCATCACTCAACAAATATAGAAGACATAAAACAAGAACTACCTGAACTAGGACACAGAGTCAGAAATATAATCAACGTACATCATAAAGCTACTAAAGAGCCATTGAACCTATTCTTTGTAGACCTAGAACCATTCCAAAACAACAAAAAGATCCACGAAATAACAGGACTCCAAAATAGAATGGTAAAAATAGAACGTCCACACTCAGACAAAACAAATATAATCCAATGTACGAGATGTCAACAGTACGGCCATACAAAAGCGTACTGCAATAAGCCATAAGCATGCGTCAAATGCGGCGGCCCACACAACACGACAGACTGCAAGAAGACAAGGGAAACACCGGTCAGATGCGCACTACGCGGAGGAAACCGCCCCGCAAACTACAGAGGATGTGAACACTTCCGTAAGCTAACCAAAGGTACCAGCAGAAGCTTTTCCCAAAGACCCATTACTCCAGAAATATATACAAATGAATCCTACACGAGAAATATATAACCTCTAGAAATAACCAACCCAGAAGCTACGCAGAAATCACAAAGCGAAATTTAACCCAAACAGAAAAAACAACTAACATACTGTGACATGTTGCGCAAAGCCGAGCCCCCCCCACACCAGCAGTGACGTGGCGGGTGAGTCAGCGCTCCCCTCCCACCCCTCAGCGGTAACGTAACGCTCGCGTAATAGGCGAGTAATCACCCCGCATCCTGGCAGCTATGCGCGGTGACGTCACGAGCGGAGCCGAAGATAGCCGAGCGGAGCCGAAGATAGCCGAGCCCCGTAACCGGGTAACTATGCAAGGCGAATCAACAGCGGTGA